GGCTGGGGATGGAGGTGCTGCGCCGTTCCTCGGTCTTCGCTGCGGAGGTGATGGAGGTGTTTGACCGGTCGCCCACCGACAAGGAGCTGGTGTCCCAGGCCAAGGTGCTCTGCAGAGACTACATCCATTCCCGGCTGCTCCGGGCCAGCCTGGGCTGGAGCAAAGCAGAGCACAACGCACCCACCCCTGGTGGCAGGCTGGCTGAGGTGTCCAGCGTGCTTCTGCAGCTAGGTAAGCAGCAGGGGGCTTCTGAGTAGCTCATGGGCCGGCACAAGGCAGGGAGTGCTGGGTGCCAAGAGGGTGCCCTGAACGGGCGTGGCCAAGACCTTATTTGCTTAAGGAATGAGGCAGCATTCTCTGCAGACGGGGTCCCATTTTGCCTCCCCCTGGATCGAGTGTCTGGAGAGCTGTTTCCTGGGCCTCTCTGGGGACACACGAGCTTGTTGCTGCACCAGTTAAAGCTTGACAAGAGTTTTGCCCCTGACTTCAGCGGGGGCAGGATCAAGCCCGTTGTCTCTGTTCCCGGCATTCCCGTTTGCATTCAGCAGCTTCGCGACAGGCCAGTGCCAGACTGTGGTCTGATCCGGGTACCTGCCCGTGGGAAATCTGGGCCCTGGGTCAGGGGTGTCCGAGCTGTAGGGAACTTTGCTTGGCCTGTGTGCAGGAGGGAGTCCTGTCCTGGCTGCATTTCAGTAACGAAGTGTGACCGTCAGCCCCCGACTGTCCACCAGCTTTTTCCCCAGTCGCTCCCTCGGGCAGGGAGTGGGCCTTTGCTGTGGGCTTTGTTCCCCCCCTACTAAGGTTGAGCCTTTGTTGTCTGAAAGTCACATGGGAGACACACTCCTCGTGACCCCATGGAAGGCCATAGTCAGAGGGGCAGGTTAGCGGGTCCTTACTAGACCCACTACAGAACCCCAGGAGATCACACTCTGCAGTGTCAATCTCCACTCTCCCAGTAATGAGGATGTAGACCAGTGTTTCCCAACTGGTGCTCCGGGGAACCCTGGGGATCCGCGAAGCGAAAGCAAGGGTTCCGCGAAGAGCCGGCACTCCCCCACCCCCTGTTAGAGACAGAGCCATGGCGAGGGCTTTTTTTTGCTCAAAACGCAGCAGGGGCCTTTTTTTTTTTTTTTTTTTTTTTTAAGGCAACTCTAGGGGTTCCGTGGCCAAATAAAATTGGGAAATACTGATGTAGACCAATATTTCCCCCAGTTTCTCTCTCTGATGCAAATCCCTCAACTCTCTTCCATCTCTGTGCAATTTGTTGCATTCATGTGCAGAATAATATTGCTATGTGCACTGAGGCATGTGCACCACCAGTAGAAACAAACACCTAAGTGTGGCGCTCTGCTAATCAGCTGGGCAGCATTTGGACCTTGCCTGGGTGGCTGCACAAGCAAACAACTTACAAGGAACGCTGTCTCTCTCCCTCTTCCCTTCCTGTTGACTATTGTCTTTGGTCTTTGTTTTACAGGCGGAGGTTTCCTCTCGGATGAATTTTTTACCCTTTTCTAGTGTTTCATTTATTTTGTATCTCCAAGTTCCTCTCTCCCTGGTGTATGCTTCTCTCCTGTTTTGGCTTTTCCTCTCTTCTGCTGTCAGTCTTGTCTTTCCTTGTCCTTCCATTCCCTTTCACCTTTTTGGTCTTCTCTTCTTCCCCCCTCTGCTCGGGTGGGTCGAATGGGCGCGGCAGAGTGTTTTGTAGGGCGAGCAGATGGCAGACGGAATTTGAAGGTGTCTCCTTGACGACTGTCCTGTTACTGTGCTTATGTTCAGATGGAAGGGTTTGGCGGATAGTCCTCAGAACTTGGCTTCTCCGCTTGGAATGGAGCTGCAGAGCGAGGATGCCAGGGGAATCCTCCTCCGCGTTAAGCTGTGCATTCGCTTCCTGCTCACTTGTTCAGACACACTGCTGCCCACACGGCCTTTTGCTCACCTTTCCTCTTCCTGCTGTAACTAGCCAACTGCAGCACAAGGGGGTAAACTCCTGGGCTGCGTCTAGACTGGCAGGTTTTTCCGCAAAAGCAGGAAAAACTTGCCAGCTGTCTACACTGGCCTTTTGAATTTCCGCAAGAACAGTGACGATCTCATGTAAGATTGTCAGTGTTCTTGCGGAAATGTTATGCTGCTCCCGTTCGGGCAAAAGCCCTCTTGTGCAAAAGCATTTGTGCAAGAGGGCCAGTGTAGACAATGCGGTATTGTTTTGCGCAAAAAAGCCCAGATGGTGAAAATGGCGATCGGGGCTTTCTTGTACAAAACCGCGTCTAGAGTGGGGTTTTTTTGTGGAAAAGCACGTCTAGATTGGCCCGAACGCTTTTCCACAAAAAGTGCTTTTGGGGAAAAGCGTCCTGCCAATCTAGACGCTCTTTTCCGCAAATGCTTTTAACGGAAAAACTTTTCCGTTAAAAGCATTTGCGGAAAATCCTGCCAGTCTAGACGTAGCCCTGCTGTCCCCAGGCACGTGGCAGGAGCCTGAGCCCCAACCTGGTCCAGCCAGCCAGGCTAGCTGTGCCCTGCCGGTGGGTGCTGGAGTGAGGGAGCAGAGTGTCCCTAGCGCGGGGAGCCGGCGAGCAAGCACGATGCGCTGCTGAGTAGGCCCGGTGAGCAGGCCCACTGCCGGGGGCGCGTGAAGGGAGCGGTTGCCCTGGGGTGTGGCAATTCAAAGGGGCAAAAAGCTCCTGGCCACTGCTGCTGTCATTGACGCCCAGTGCCCCAGGCCCTTTAAATCCCCACTGGAGTGCTGAGGGTGGGCTGCCCCGGCCCCATCCCTTCCCGGAGCACCATGCCGCCCCTCCCCTGGCCCAGGGGCCCGCAGGAAGCTGGCAGCCCCCTGCCAGTGAGCTCACGGTGGTCCCCAGGAACCGAAGCGCTGCAGCTGGCAGTGGCTCCTGCTGGCGCTTTCGGCGGCGCGGGCTGAGACGCGGTGCTCGCTAAGGAGCTGCTGCCACCCTCGCCCATGAGCGGCGGGGGGAGGGGGTCTGTGAAAACGGCTCCTTTAAGGAAACTTTGCTTCACGGGGATGACGTCTCCTCTCACGGGTGGTGGCAAGGCTGTGCCAAAGGGGGCTGGACAGCCCAGCAGCTGGTCAGGGGAGCGGCAAACTCGCATCCCCACTCGGTAACTAGAGCGGAGGACTGTATCCTTTCCCGGCACTGCCCACGGCTCCCTCGGTCAGTCACGGGCCTGCCTAGCTGAGACGGCTGTACTGCCTCCGTTCCCCTAGCTGAGACGGCTGTACTGCCTACCTTGTAGGGCTGTAGCGAGGCTCATCTAGTCCACGCCGTAAAGCGTTTTGAAAATGTCAGAGAAGAGGTGCAATGCAGGAGAGGCTGGGAGGCCACAGGCCACGTGGTAGCAGTTCAGTGCCCGAGGGATCCGTGGCCTCATTCCATTACGTGGGGCACTAGGCCCCTGTCCCAGACAGTCCAGCACAGGGCAGGCTGCGTGTGTGTTCACTGACAAAGGGGGAGTAGCCGAAGCACAGGGACCCTCAGCTCTGCGGCTGTGTCGCTACATTGATTGAACCCCGGGTGACAGTGCTGTTCTTACTCTGGCAAGTGACACAAACCACATGCAGCTCAGCTGGTGCGTCCACGCTGTCTGGCACCCGTTTAAAATGGCCCGGTCCCACGCTCGCTAGAGCCAAGGGGCCGGCCAAGTCGCTGCTCTCCGGGGGCGAAAAGCTGACCAGTCGCTTTCACTGCTGCGGTCACAAGGCTCCTTACACATAATCCCAGCGGAGTGCGGAGGCAGAAGGCTCCCGCCTGCTCTCAGAAGCAGCTGGCCTAGGGGGTAGGAGCTGGCAGGGCAGTAAGGAGACCAAGGTAACATCCCCAGCTGACGGACCTTGGGGGATCTCTTCCCCTCTGTCCCTTTGTTTTCCTTGTCTGCATATTTAGCGCCTCAGTCTAGTTAGCAGACTGTTGCTGAGTGTGGTATATAGCACCGGGCACTGCCAGTAGGCCTCCAGGGGACCAGCAGCGCAGAATAACAGTGTTCCCATCTGCCTGCCCCAGACCACGTTCAGCTGGCCCGGGGGGCTCTGCCTCGGTCCCTCATGTTCGGAGGGGGAGGCTGAGTAACTTGTCTGCATATTTAGCGCCTCAGTCTAGTTAGCAGACTGTTGCTGAGTGTGGTATATAGCACCGGGCACTGCCAGTAGGCCTCCAGGGGACCAGCAGCGCAGAATAACAGTGTTCCCATCTGCCTGCCCCAGACCACGTTCAGCTGGCCCGGGGGGCTCTGCCTCGGTCCCTCATGTTCGGAGGGGGAGGCTGAGTAACCCCGGGACAGGGAGCAGCTCTCCTGGAACATTCCCTCTTATCAGCCTCAGCCACGCAGTGCGGGGTTTCCTTTGCTAGTCAGCGTGTGGAACAATGGCCCGCCGAGGGCTGGCACTGGGAAGCTGGGGGTTGCCTGCTTCGCTATCTGAGCACTGATGTCAGAGCTTGGGAAATGGGGGGAGGGTTGGCGGCACGGCTGGAGTCCGTCCTTTGGTCAGAGAATCCTGCCTCCTCCCTGCCGCCTATGCCGATCCCCCTCACTTGTGCAGGTCCCGGCAGCAGTGAAGACCTGGCAGCCTGGGCAAGCGGCCAGGGTGCACA